TGCTATATTAGGAGATATATAGCAACTGTATATAAATATTCCACCGATCTTTGCTCTGACGAAGCCTTGCTCTAAATGGTTCATTCCTTTCTCTATTGCTTTGCTTCCGCATGCCCACACCGCTGCCTTGCTTTCTAAATCTGTTTCCCAGATATTTCTTTCTAGGTTTTTGTATTGCTCGCTTACTAAGGCAACGTCAATGTTTTTTTCACAAATTGTCTGTTTTAGAAGCTCTTGTGCTGCACTACAGTGGTTTAAGTTTAGTTGGATAAACTTCATTTACATCTGGTACTTAACGCCTCCTTGAAGATTGCGCATCTATAGCTTCCAGCTATGTGTTTTAGGTCCCCCTTTCCATCTGCTTTACAGAGCATACAGCTTGGTTCTACATGACAATCCTTAACTAAATGTCCCTCAAGTCCACACTTTAGGCAAAGTTTCGACCTATCAACCTCCGATTTGCAGAATCTTGAAATGTGACCAAATTCTAAGCACTTAAAACATTTGGTGAGCGTTACAACTTCTCTTAAGCGGCAGATGGACCAGCCAATTTTTATTTTGTTTAGCTTGAGTGCTTTTACTGCAATTTCTGTTGGGAGGCTTATTTTGGCCGACTGTGTTCCTCCATATGTTTTTCGGAGTGACTTTACACTGCTTTCCTTCAGGTTAGGAATCTCTAATGCTTTTGAGAGGCATTGACATATTTCCAGTTTTGTTGTAATGTCATCCATATCTTTGCATTCTATTACCATCTCATCTATATGTGTTCTTACTTCAACTGATCCTTCTAACGACGTTTCGATTTTTTTATCAAACCTCTCGGATAGGTTTTTGCTTCCGGTCTTTAACTCTAAAAGTAGGTCACATTTCTGGGTTCTCCTAATTTTATTAACTTCTTCACCTAGATCTTTTAGTTCGGGATCTGATCGTAGTTTCTTCAGAATATCAGCGTAGGAGATTTCATTTTTGGCTGATATTATCATCGTATCTGGTCTTGACTTACGTAGTCTGGGATACCTTTTCTTCTTTATCACCGTCCAACTTGTTCGTTTCTTATCCGAATCTGGACTGCTACCAGTAGCTTCTACACATTGGAATCGCTTTGGCATACTCTCCTGGGGGTTTTGTTGAGAACTTTTCGGTGCCTTATCCGAAGTTTCTGCAGATGAGGTTTTTTTGTCTTATTTTCTGGGCGGGCTTGTTTTGCCCTTTTTGGAGTCGGCATTTTTGGGGTTGTTTTGTCATCCATATTTCGTTTGGGCTCTCTCTTGCTGGGCCATATATTTGGGGAAGTCTGTGTAGACTGTTCCACTTCTTCCCGTTCTGCAACTGGTCTTCTATGACCTATTTCTTTGCTAGCTTTATTATACACAGCTCGTATAGCAGTAAGCTGACCTTTAATGGAAAGGTGTATATTATTCATAGGTTTTGTAAACGCTATTAGTTCACCTATTAGTTTCCCCAGTTTGGTAAAAGAATCACTCTGGACGTCGTCTTTATTATTTTGTGGTGTTCCTTCAATCGCACAATTACTTTGAGGAGGTGTTCTTTTTGTAGTCGCACTTCTGTGAAAAGGATTTATTTGATTTCTTCCTTCAGGGTTTAAGGCACTATCTGATATCCGCGGTAAACTACAAACTGGAGTGAAGTAGAGCTCCAATCCACCTGGAGGTCGGGTTTTAGTATTTCCTCCATTATCCGGTTGATAATGTTTGCTTGTAGCAGTATCTGTTATCCCAGCCAAGCTTACCGGGGTAACATTGCAGGCGCTGGATGACGACGACTGGTAGCCTGCTTGCGCACTACCCATAGCCGCCGGTACTGGGGTCATTACTCCCTGCACCGTAGTATAATTTTTATTAGTTGACTTTTCCATGTTTGGCTTTTATATTCCGGGATCCTACCCGTAGCGTTTTTGTCCTAGCCGCCAGGATTTTTCGCAGCCGCCCCTAACATGGGAAACAGACGCTGACCAGGAAGCCACTCAATATGAGACAGACGCTTCTGGGTTTTGGAACGACTAGAGGAACCACGAAGACGTCACCCTTCTTAATTACACCTCTCTAGAGGGTACCTCTTGTAGACTATAGACTAGACTATAGACTAGACTATAGACTAGACTATAGACTAGACTATAGACTAGACTATAGACTAGACTATAGACTAGACTATAGACTAGACTATAGACTAGACTATAGACTAGACTATAGACTAGACTATAGACTAGACTATAGACTAGACTATAGACTAGTCTATAGTCTAGTCTATAGACTATATAGACTATAGACTAGTCTATAGTCTAGTCTAGTCTATAGTCTAGTCTATATAGACTATAGACTAGTCTATAGTCTAGTCTATAGTCTAGTCTATAGTCTAGTCTATAGTCTAGTCTATAGTCTAGTCTATAGTCTAGTCTATAGTCTAGTCTATAGTCTAGTCTATAGTCTAGTCTATAGTCTAGTCTATAGTCTAGTCTATAGTCTAGTCTATAGTCTAGTCTATAGTCTAGTCTATAGTCTAGTCTATAGTCTAGTCTATAGTCTAGTCTATAGTCTAGTCTATAGTCTAGTCTATAGTCTAGTCTATAGTCTAGTCTATAGTCTAGTCTATAGTCTAGTCTATAGTCTAGTCTATAGTCTAGTCTATAGTCTAGTCTATAGTCTAGTCTATAGTCTAGTCTATAGTCTAGTCTATAGTCTAGTCTATAGTCTAGTCTATAGTCTAGTCTATAGTCTAGTCTATAGTCTAGTCTATAGTCTAGTCTATAGTCTAGTCTATAGTCTAGTCTATAGTCTAGTCTATAGTCTAGTCTATAGTCTAGTCTATAGTCTAGTCTATAGTCTAGTCTATAGTCTAGTCTATAGTCTAGTCTATAGTCTAGTCTATAGTCTAGTCTATAGTCTAGTCTATAGTCTAGTCTATAGTCTAGTCTATAGTCTAGTCTATAGTCTAGTCTATAGTCTAGTCTATAGTCTAGTCTATAGTCTAGTCTATAGTCTAGTCTATAGTCTAGTCTATAGTCTAGTTATAGTCTAGTCTATAGTCTAGTCTATAGTCTAGTCTATAGTCTAGTCTATAGTCTAGTCTATAGTCTAGTCTATAGTCTAGTCTATAGTCTAGTCTATAGTCTAGTCTATAGTCTAGTCTATAGTCTAGTCTATAGTCTAGTCTATAGTCTAGTCTATAGTCTAGTCTATAGTCTAGTCTATAGTCTAGTCTATAGTCTAGTCTATAGTCTAGTCTATAGTCTAGTCTATAGTCTAGTCTATAGTCTAGTCTATAGTCTAGTCTATAGTCTAGTCTATAGTCTAGTCTATAGTCTAGTCTATAGTCTAGTCTATAGTCTAGTCTATGTCTAGTCTATAGTCTAGTCTATAGTCTAGTCTATAGTCTAGTCTATAGTCTAGTCTATAGTCTAGTCTATAGTCTAGTCTATAGTCTAGTCCTATAGTCTAGTCTATAGTCTAGTCTATAGTCGTCTATAGTCTAGTCTAGTCTAGTCTATAGTCTAGTCTATAGTCTAGTCTATAGTCTAGTCTATAGTCTAGTCTATAGTCTAGTCTATAGTCTAGTCTATAGTCTAGTCTATAGTCTAGTCTATAGTCTAGTCTATAGTTCTAGTCTCTAGGTCTAGTCTATAGTCTAGTCTTAGTCTGTCTATAGTCTAGTCTATAGTCTAGTCTATAGTCTAGTCTATAGTCTAGTCTATAGTCTCGTCTATAGGTCTGGTCATAGTCTAGTCTATAGTCTAGTCTATAGTCTAGTCTATAGTCTAGTCTATCGTCTAGTCTCTAGTCTAGTCTATAGTCTAGTCTATAGTCTAGTCTATAGTCTAGTCTATTAGTCTAGTCTATAGTTCTAGTCTATAGTCTAGTCTATAGGTCTTCTAGTCTATAGTCATAGTCTATAGTCTAGTCTAAGTTCTTGTCTATTAGTCTAGTCTATAGTCTAGTCTATAGTCTAGTCTATAGTCTAGTCTATAGTCTAGTCTATAGTCTAGTATATAGTCTATAGTCTAGTCTATAGTCTAGTCTATAGTCTATAGTCTAGTCTATAGTCTAGTCTATAGTCTAGTCTATTGTCTAGTCTATAGTCTAGTCTATAGTCTAGTCTATAGTCTAGTCTATAGTCTAGTCTATAGTCTAGTCTATAGTCTAGTCTATAGTCTAGTATATAGTCTAGTCTATAGTCTAGTCTATAGTCTAGTCTATAGTCTAGTCTATAGTCTAGTCTATAGTCTAGTCTATAGTCTAGTCTATAGTCTAGTCTATAGTCTAGTCTATAGTCTAGTCTATAGTCTAGTCTATAGTCTAGTCTATAGTCTAGTCTATAGTCTAGTCTATAGTCTAGCCTATTGTCTAGTCTATAGTCTAGTCTATAGTCTAGTCTATAGTCTAGTCTATAGTCTAGTCTATAGTCTAGTCTATAGTCTAGTCTATAGTCTAGTCTAGTCTATAGTCTAGTCTATAGTCTAGTCTATAGTCTAGTCTATAGTCTAGTCTATAGTCTAGTCTATAGTCTAGTCTATAGTCTAGTCTAGTCTATAGTCTAGTCTATAGTCTAGTCTATAGTCTAGTCTATAGTCTAGTCTATAGTCTAGTCTATAGTCTAGTCTATAGTCTAGTCTATAGTCTAGTCTATAGTCTAGTCTATAGTCTAGTCTATAGTCTAGTCTATGGTCTAGTCTATAGTCTAGTCTATAGTCTAGTCTATAGTCTAGTCTATAGTCTAGTCTATAGTCTAGTCTATAGTCTAGTCTATAGTCTAGTCTATAGTCTAGTCTATAGTCTAGTCTATAGTCAAGTCTATAGTCTAGTCTATAGTCTACTCTATGGTCAAGTCTATAGTCTATTGTCTAGTCTATAGTCTAGTCTACACTTACACAAACTGGTTTATACAATAGTACAACTGTTTCTATTAATAGAGAATTTATTAAAATTTATAAATATAAACAATTTAAACATTAATTAATATACAATTAAATTATTTCTGTTTTTCAGATTTATCATCATACGATACAGCTCCAGGATGTGGAGCCCACAAAAAGGTCCTACACGACTGTGGGACCTTAGGTTTAGTCTTTTATTTATTTTACAATTAATGGTAAGTTTCACAATTTGTGTATAATTTAATTTCAGTTAAGTGAAATTTTGAGAATTTGCTTTTAAATTATTATATTTTAAAACACTTATAACCTTTCGCCTAAAGGTTTAATTATAAGTTCATGGACCTAGAAAAAAAATAAAATGAAAATATTCCTAAAAAAATAAAATCTGTACAATTTTACCTGAACATGAGAAGGAGTTTGTAGACAATAAACTACAGCATCTGCTACATCGGAGGACTCTAGAAAATTTGAATTTTTCAGTAGTTCCCAGGCTCTTTTGGGGAAAATTTCTGTACGCACTAAACCCGGACTAATGCTCTAAAATAAAATTGAACAAGCAACTAATTTAATAATTTTCAAATTAAATAATAAAAATTTTACTTACGGTTATTTTAATTTTTGTATTATGCATTAAAAACTCATTCCGATAGACTTCAGTCATGGCTGTAAGGGCATGTTTCGAAGCTTGATACATATTTGTAGACATGCCACTGAAATGTTCTACCTTATGGCCGCCTATGCTATTTATAATAATCACATGACCCTGACTATTGTTATGCTGTGACATTGTCTTGAAGGCCTCTCTAGTACAATAGATCACACCCATGACATTTGTTTCGATGGTATCACGTATATCTTGTGAATTATTTTCTCTCACCAGCTCGGTATCACGTATAATACCAGCATTATTTATTAGCACCGCTATGGCACCATGTTCTTGAACGATCTTTTTAAATGTCTCAACTACTTCGTCTTCATTGCGTACATCACATTTGTGAGCATGAAAACGTTGTTGTTTTTCTTCATCACCCGTCCAAAAATCACGTAATTTTTCTATACCTTCTTGGCATAAGTCCAGACCCACAACAATCATGTTGTGCTCAATGAGTGCTTTACAACAGGCCTCTCCTATACCGGCACTAGCTCCCGTCACTACGGCTACTTTATTATGCCACTTTTCCATTCTAAATGGGATTTGTGTTTTTTTAGAACAATTTATTATGTTATTTATAAAGAGTGACACAATTTTTATTAAAATTTAAATCCGTACATTTTAATGTTTATGTTGTGATAATTTCAGAACAACTGAAATTAATGCATAGAATTTAAATTTGAAAAATGCAAGATTTACACATTTAATTGCTTAAAGAGGTCGTTGGTCAAGCTTTCTGCTCTCTGCAACTTTGTTGTAAATAGTTTTGAAAAATAATTTATATGCATATTATACTACATGCAACCAACCCAGCAAGTATATTTTTTTGATTTGCTTTGAGCATTATGTAGTCTACAAAAATATGTTAATATTTGAGTGATTTTATATTGCAACAGAAACTTACTTTGAAAAGTAATGAGTTAAAAGGCTATTATTCACTACTTACTTATTCTTATTTTAAGTAATTATTTTAACACTGCGAAGTCATGTGAATATGTACTGATAAAAGCTATTACCAATTGAGAGTTAAAAAGTTGCCGACACCGAATCTTAGTCTATCAGCTGTTGTCGTATTCACAACATGAGAGCGAATGCAGTCGTCATTTTGCTGTACCGAAGGCAAACGGGTAGAGGATAGAATTTCGAAATTTGTCTTGCCACGGTTATTGGTGCAAGTGCAAGGTTCAATGTTACTTTGGTGTGCAAGTGGGGCAGTGGTTTAAACTCAAAAAATTAGGAAATATATTGGTGGTTAAAATACTGATACAAGGTGAAATCTATATTTCGGGATAAGTTCGGTGCTGTTACAGACACCCTTCAAAGATGAAACTGTAAGGGCAAGGCATTGGGTATATGTCGGTGTTTATTTAATAAGATAAAGAATGGCTCCACCTGAATACCTAGATATGTATGGATATTGTCAGGGTTTACTCTGTTCATATCAGACACCACAGACTGTTCTCTATGAGGAAGAATTTGTCTTTGGCTTATTTAATGGATTCGTATTTCTGATTATGTCTCTAGATGCCCATCCCATCCGCATGATTGTAAACAAAAATGTTTCTGCATCTCGGAAATTAAGCTATGTTGCAGCAATGCTCATAGAATAGAAAGCTCAAGTACTCGAGTAAAATGCTTGAAGGTAGACCGTCAGAACCAAGTACAAGGCACAAAAAGAGGCGATGATGAGTCGTCTCAAGATCACCCTGTTGTTTAAAAAGTACCACAGTGAAATAGGCGGTGTTCGCGTAAAACACTCGACTTCAGCCCATTTTAGTCGAAGTATGTTTGCTGTCTCCAAAGAGTCAATTGACTTCCTTCTAGATCATGCCAATGTCAAAAAAACTAATCACCAAGCTGGTCGTATGGCTAGTGGCGATCCTAACTATTAGGTTATCCGAAAATTCTGGGTAGTAGAAGAATCTTATATACCGACGATCGGCTCTCGGCTCATGTGAATCGAAAGTGAATTTCAGGAGGTGACTCGTTATATGAACTTAGATCAATCTTTATTACAACTCATTTCTTCTAGCTTTTGCGACTATAATTGATCTCATTTCAAGCGCCTTTTAGGAGAATATTTCTATTCTTATTTGTTGTTATTAAACGATTTATTTAAAGTCGACCTAATTTTGATTTTGTTTATATATTTAAATTAAAATTTTTATGACTTTTTTATGGCTATTTTTACGGTTAAAATTTTTATTACTTCCAACAACAAACTAGGTTTAGTGCGCAATTGTATTTTTTGTTAAATAAATCGGTGTGCATGTTTTGGACATTCATTTATATAATCTTAGGACTAAAGCATTAACATCAAGGAACAATAATTTCTATACTAAATATAGACTACATGAGCTACAACAAACTTATTCAACTAAAATGTACCACCCAAAGGTCGTATCATTAGTTCATGTATTTGAACATTTGGTGGGGTTTGCAAACAATAAACTACAGCATCGGCTACATCTTGAGGCCGCAAAAGTGAGTATTCTGCCGGTAAATTTGAACATTCACCCAGTATTTGTGTATTAACTGCACCGGGACTTATACTCTATTAAGGAAAATCACAAACTGATTAATTTCTTAAAACTTAAAAACAATCTAGGTACTACTTACCGTTATTTTGATTTTGGTTTGTTGCATTAGGAACTCCTGGCGTAATACCTCCGTCATGGCGGTTAGAGCATATTTTGTGGGAGCATATAAATTTAAACTAACACCCGGCAATTGGGGTACATAATGACCCACTAAACTATTTATTATAATAACATGTCCCGTATCACGACAATAGTTTTTCATTATGGCAAAAGCTTCACGCGTACACAAAGCTACTCCCAAAATATTTGTATCTAAAACATCTCGCAAATCTTCAGTATTATCGGGCTTGACAATTTGGGTATTTTTCAAAACACCAGCATTATTGATGAGCACATCTAGGCCGCCCAAATGATCAGCTATCCAAGTAAATGTATGACGTATATCGTTCTCCGAACGAACATCACACTTTAAGGCATGAAAACGATATCTCTGATCAGCTGGTATATTAGCCAGCACCTCACGTTCCATTAGATCTTGACGACGAGCCAAACCAACGACTATCATGCCCTGCTGCAGCAAAGCTTTACAGCAGGCGGCTCCTATACCCGAACTAGCACCCGTTACTACAGCAATTTTTAAGGGCATCTGCTTAGGATGAGACATTTTAAAGACTAAAGATGAGTTTTCAGAATTGTCATGTTTAAACCTCTAATATTGTTTATTTAGATTTGAATACGCACTAGCAATTGATTAAATATATTGTTGTTTATTTTAGTGAAAATACTGATAAGAAGACAAGAGTTTTGTGTTACTGCAACATAAAAAAAATACTTGATAATACTTATAGATGAGTTTGAGTATAGTTATTTAGTAATAAAAAAATAAAGCCGGTAAAGTTCGATTATATAATGCCCTACAAAGCTATTATAATACCCTATACTACTTTAGTGGGGAGGGTATATTGGGTTTGTGCTGATGTTTGTAACGCACAATAATATTGGTATAACCTTAAAGTATAACCACCTTAAGTAGAATCATTTTCTGAGTCAATTTAGCTATGTCCGTCCGTCTGTCCGTCCGTCCGTCCATGTAAATCTAGTAATCAAACTACAGGTCGCAATTTTGAAGATAATTCAATGAAATATGGCACATGATCTTCTATTGCGCCATAGACTATTATAACCTCCATACAACTGTACCCCCGAATAGGGCTTTTAAGGTTATGATTAATATACTCGTATGTTGACAAAAAGCTGAAAAACCAAGTTCTATACTAGCCTTGATGACCCTGATGAATTTTATAATTATGGGTCCTCATTTAACACTAGCCACTGTTTGTGTGAAGTTACCGTTATAGTATATATCATATATAGAACAAAGATTGCTAAGAAAATACAGATTTTCAGAAGTTGTTTTTATATAAGATACAAATGTAGACCGTTGTGGAAATAGGTGAACAATTTATCAATTTCAAACAGTTCCAATCGTCTTTAAACGGTTTTCAGGGCCTATTGGTATTCCTAAGATGGGTATAGGACCAATATTTATATGTGTTCCAAACATCTGCCCCCTAAACTAATTGTAGTGTAGGGTATAGTAGTAGAAAACAAAATACAAATAAATCGATAATGAAATGTAGAGCTTGTCTCAAAGCGTTTGCTGTGAACTTCGACACTAAATCTATTAAGTGAGAAATGTTATCATTACTCATATATTTTTTTAATAAAAAATCTGTATGGCAACTCTGTATATAAAAATATAAGTAACAAATCGATTAGAGAGCACAAGATACTTAGATAAGGTGGAAATTAGGTAAACAAATATTGATAAATGGGAGAGAGATGATTTTTAAGAGAATGGACTAAGAGAGTTTTTAAAATATACACAAATTATGAAACTCTTAATATATAGTAACAGCAGGTTTAAACTAATTAGTAACCACATGTTTTTAATAGAAATTAAATTTTAAATATTAAAAACTGTGGTTTTCATGTTATCAATTTTTGTTTTAAGGTTATAGACTACTATAGACTTTTACACATAATGACTCTGCTGCCGGCTAAGCAAACCAAATCACGTTGAAGTTCGGTATAAGCAAATTGAAACATTTCATAAGGGTCGGCGTATAAAAAATGTTTAAACCAGAGCAGGTCTTAATCCGAATCTGGTATCAGAATTTCTCCATTACATCTGGTATTCGAGATATTGCATCCAGAATTTTGAAAAAATTCAATTTTTGGCCCTTTTTGAGACGTTATAACAGCTCTAAGACAACTTTTTATTAATAATTATTATTGTATGCCTTCTGAAAGTCCATTATGTCAGTTTTAAAATAACGGCTTACCATCTGACATATCAGATTCGGATTCAGAGCGAGTCAGTCCTTCCGAAAAGAATCACATCTTGCAATTAATTAATAATTTATAACTAAGTAGTTTCAAAATATAAGCAAGTTTTATAAGAACCATGACCCAATCTTTTCTATTTGAAAATCAATCATAATGCTCATATCGATAAATAAAGAAATATTCAGAATAATAAACTCTCTGGGAGTTTGTTCCCTCTCCTATACACAAAGCATGCAAAGGGAAACAATTACTCTCCCAGGGAGAGTATATTATTATCGGCCTGATAATACATAATATATTTTAGCATACATTTAATCAATTACTCTTTTACTCTGTTTCTGTATTTTTCTCGAATCGAGAAGAAAATTAAAATATAATAGTCTTCCAGTTTTTAACAGGGTGACTCTTATTATTTTTAAACTGTATTCAATAACATTTAATAAGAAATGTTTGAAATCCTTGTTTCACCCTGTTTTACACAAGATGATCATGAATTTTTCGACAGATTTTCTCGATGCAAGAATTACAGAAACGGGGTACTGGTAATAAATTTCAAATATCCTTCAGAAATTCACAAATTTAGAAGATTTTAGGTAAGATTGGGTATTATTAATAACAGTGCCGTGTGAACATGATATTAAACATTTTGATGATCAATGAGCACTATTAAAAAAACTTGAAATTATTTATAAATTTCTGAAACAAACACAATAATGTTGTAAATAATTATTCTTAATTAGTTTATATTTATTCATGTTACCCCAAAATTTCAATAATCAAATCCCAAAGGGCGTATAAATAAATCGTGTATTTGAACATGAGGTGGTGTTTGTATACCAAATACAATGGCATCAGCTACATCTTCAGGATTTAGAGCGGGTATTTGAGAAGGATATGGAATATCATCACCCAAAATACCAGTACGGCAGGCACCAGGACTAACGCTCTATGCAAAAGAAAAATAAGTTTCTTAATCTTTAAATCCATGAAGTATAATCTTTACCGTAATTTTTGTTCTAGAACCTTGAGCTAAAAGCTCCTGTCTTAACACCTCCACCAAAGCAGTAACAGCATGCTTAGAGGGTGGATATATATTTGTACTTTGACCCGGTATATTTGGCACTAAACGACCACATATGCTATTGACAATTGTTATATGACCATCGACATTACGTTTCTTCATATTTTGAAAGGCTTCTCGTGTGCACCAAACAATTGCCAGAAGATTAGTATCTATGGTGTCTCTAATATCTTCTGAATTATTTGGATTTAGTAGAGCTTTTTGTCGTATAATACCAGCATTATTAAGACAGTGGAAATTATTTTGTTGTTCCATGGCCAAAGTAGGTTTCACTTGTGTTTCTATTTTATCAAGACGTATATCAAGACCCACCACAATCATACCCTTTTGTAAAAGAAGTTTACAGGTGGCAGCACCAATACCAGAACCGGCTCCAGTTACCATAGCGATTTTATTTTGCCAACGCTCCATTTTGGGGAATATTTTATGTGTTGAGTTGTGTTTAGAAATTATAACTGAATTCAATTTTGTTTTAATTAAATTTATTTAAAAAATATAAATTGCAATTTTATAAGTAGTTTTTTATCTTATCAATGCAATGGTTGGCCATCATTATCTTATCATTATATATGCGAAATTCTAACGATTTAGTAGTTTTAGAATAATCAATATGTTTACAAAACTTAACACGGAGGTCTTAATAAAATGTTTTTTTTTAATTTCGAGAAATTAGGGTATAAAATAATTTAATATTAACTCAAACCTAATCGGCATTAAACTATCAAAAATCTTCACCAATTGGTTTAATAATCATTTCATGAATTTGAACATGAGGAGGAGTTTGTATACAATAAACTATAGCATCGGCAATATCTTCGCTTTTTAAAACGGCCAAATCGTCAGGGAATTCCACAATATCTGTCTTAACTGCACCCGGGCTAATGCTCTGTAAAAATCAAAAACGCCCCAAAAAATAATAAAAAAATATTTTCCTTTACCTAAAAAACAAATGACAAACTCACCGTAACTTTAATTTTTGTATTATTCGCCAATAGTTCCTGCCTTAATACCTCTGTCATGGCTGTAATGGCATGTTTACTGGGTGGATAAATATTTAATTTTAAATCCGCTATATGTGGTATATAGTGACCCGTCAAACTATTTATAATCACCACATGACCATCAACTTGTCGTTTTTTCATATTCTTAAATGCCTCTCGGGTACACCATACTACGCCCAAAACATTTGTGCTAAGGGTTTTTGTTATATCCTCCGTATTATTTTCGGTCAACAAAGTGGTTTGTTTATAAATACCAGCATTATTTATCAAGACATCAACCCCGCCAAAGTTCTGTTCGATCCAGTTAAAAGCTTCTTTAACACTGGGCTCATCACTTACATCACATTTGTGTGAATGGAAATTCGCTTGTTTGTCAGCTGTGATAGTGGGTCTAACTTGTGATTCCATTTTATCGACACGTCTGGCCAGACCTATTACAATCATGCCTTTCTCTACTAAAGCTTTACAGGTGGCAGCACCTATGCCCGAACTGGCACCGGTTACCACAGCGATTTTGTTTTGCCAACGTTCCATTATCTAATTATTTTTTCCAGTAAATATTGTGCGATCGTTTAAAGATCTTAATAGAAACTAAAGTTTTATTTATATTAACGACATCATATTATTTTATTTAAAATTTAAAGATATTCCTCAAACCATTTTTTTGTGGATTTATTCGCTTCATTAGCATTCTTCTTTTGTTTTTTTATCAATTTAATTAATACTTATTGTACGTATCTGTCAGTGTTACCACATGAATATTAAGCCCAAAATTGTTATCAAAATCTACCAAAATTTGAAATTTGTTTGAATTTTACTATAAGTATTTATTTAACGATGTATGCAACTCCATCATAGGGGTTCTAAGGTACATCTTCTGTGTAGTTGTAATTGCAGGAGATCATTGTGTCTTAATCCATATTATCCCCTGTACTTATCTGAATAATCCCATATATGTAATTTGGTAAAAAGAATGTCAAAATGACAACTCTACTTCATACATACATAGTAGTAAAACACATATGTTTATAGCAGTGGTTGGCATCCATAGAAACAAGGACCCGAGCTTAGTAAGCTGTTTAAACCCTGCAGTTCGACAAAGAGTCATTTCCAATAAACTGGTTGACTATAATTCGCCTTACGTCAAGAATGTACTTTTTGTAAAGACATTAACACTTAATTGTGCCTTCTGTAAGTGAAAGCGAAGACAGTTTTCACTTTACTGTCCCCAAGTAATCTATAGAGTAAATACTTAAAGAAACTTAAGCCATTTATTGACTCTTTTGTAGTATCTTTTTGACTGTATTTTTGTTATTCATGGAATGATGATTAATTGGAAAAGCACATGTTAAAATTGCTAGTCAACTGAGTTGGCTAGGGCAACCCTAAGTGGTAGGTTAAATAGCAAGTTCGGAACTGTTCCGTACTGCTGGGAATAAACACATCACATTTGCCAATAAAAGCTTTTAAAACTGAGCTTTAAAAGGAAACCAATATATACCATATACTCTTTGTGCCGACCACAGGTTTATATAAACATTTAAAGAATATTAAATGTTTTTGTTAGATTTTTTGTACATAATTAGTTATTAAATGTAAATAATTATTATTAGAAAAATTAAATATTAATTCATATAAAATTAATTGCCATATTCAATTCTTTATGTATTAGTATTTTAAACATGATTTTTGACATTAGCAAATACACTTCTAACTCGCTTCTACTACAAATTTGTCGAAACTTTGGCGCTAAGAAAAGAATGTTAATACGCATATCATGAATTACTTAATACTTGTGAGCAAGCTTTTATAAGGTATTTATGAGTTAAAGCTGATTAACATTTTTAACAGTAATCGTACAACTTAAATATGTATTTGCATATTCTAATATCTTTCTACATATTCATAACTTAATAAACAAATTTTTTTATTTTTTTCTATCTTAACAAAAATTTTGTATGTTTAATTTATTGGATTACTGTTCATGCATATTTATAATGTTTATCGCACCCCCAACAGAGTGTGCTTATCATACTTTTAGGTATAATTTAATGAAATTAAAAGTGTTAACATTAAAAACGATTTTTTTCTATGTTTTAAACGCGTGACAAATTTTGAAAGAAGTGTTAAGAAATTTGTTATACACTACACTCGAAAAAAATAAGCAATATCGTTTCATGCTTTCATTAGACTATAGACTAGACTAGACTATAGACTAGACTATAGACTAGACTATAGGCTCGACTATAGACTAAACTATAGACTAGTCTATATACTAGACTAGAGTATAGACTAGACTATAAACTAGACTATAGACTAGGTTATATTCTACTCTATAGACTAGACTATAGATTATAGACTACTCTATAGACTAGACCACAGACTGAACTAGGTACTTGACTATAAGCTGGACTTTAGAATAGAATACAGACTAGACTATAGACCCGACTATAGACTAGACTATAGACTCGACTATAGACTAAACTATAGACTAGACTATAGAATAGACTATAGACTAGAGTAGACTATAGACTAGACTATAGATTAGACTACAAGTTAGACTATACTATAGGCTAAACTATAGACTAGACTGTACTATTGACTAGACTATAGACTAAACTATAGACTAGACTATAGACTGGACTATATACTAAACTATAGACTAGACTATAGACTACACTACACACTAGACTACAGAATGTGTAGTTGTAGGTGTATTGATTACTATGTTGACTATTTATCATAATTTTATAAGTTAGAAAAAGTAACGATAATGTCGGAAAAAATCACCAAAGTATTGAAATTCCCATACCTGGTTGAAACTATAAATAATGCTTAAAATTATAAATTGCATAATATACATATTATGTATATATGTATGTATGTATGTATGTATGTATGTATGTATGTATGTATGTATGTATGTATGTATGTATGTATGTATGTATGTATGTATGTATGTATGTATGTATGTATGTATGTATGTATGTATGTATGTATGTATGTATGTATGTATGTATGTATGTATTTTAGTTCAAATAATCAAAACTTCAAACGAGGGCTTATCAATAAGTACATTTTGTATTTAAAGTGATATATTAAGTAAGACCGACTAACTGGATTTTGACTTAAAATGTACCAAAATAGTGGGTTCTAAACTTACTTTGACATATGTAAATTCATAAGTACTGTGAAAAATTACTATACATTTTACAATGAACATCATTTATAGGAACTAATATTGGATTTTTATATGTCTTCAAAAAATAATTTAGAGTTCGTGTAACTCCATAAATATAACATACACATAAATGTCTGTTCAGGTGTGTATGATTTTACTATATTTTGTGGTTTATCAAGTTTTACATTAATTTGTTCTATATATCGATAGCTACATATGTACAAAGTAGCTATGAAACCAATAGTCTTAGATATTTTTATCTAATCGGTTAAAATTATAGCTTCTAAACAACAACAACAAAAGTATCTATTTTTAATACTTATCAATACATTGAGTATTTGTTACATTGTAAGTACAAGCCCTTTATAAATTGTATCGATAGATAAGAAATTCATAAAAAACTAAGTGATTAAAACTAATTAAAAAGGTTCACAAAGTTTAATAAATAAATTTTAATCAATTCTATGAACTCAACATAATTTTGTATAAACACACATTTTTCAAAGACTTTTAGTAAAACCCTCGTTTTTCTATTTTGTTTACTAATTCTACGTCACTGTCAATGATTTGGCGTAATTTCAACCGACTAGTAGTAGACTTGTTGGGGTTGCCTTTTATATCGTTGATAATAAAAAAAACCTGTTCGTTAAAAACTACTACCAAATTATCAAATCATTTTTTGTTTAAATGACTATTGATTTTTTCAGTATTTGTTATCTCAACATTGTTGTATAGATATTTATTTTACCAAATATACTTATATTCGTACCAATTCGTTGGACATGATGATGACTCGATTATTTCTCTGGCTAAACAATAATTATAACTTTATAAATAAATAGCTCTGAGAAATTTGTCAGTATTCGAAAAGTGGTAGAGCAAGCAAGTATGGAACGTTGGCAAAATAAAGTAGCTGTGGTAACGGGTGCCGGTTCAGGCATAGGTGCCGCCACTTCTAAAGTTCTCGTGGATGAAGGCATGATTGTTGTAGGTTTTGACATACGTTTGGATAGCATGGAAACGAAAGTTAAGCCTACAATGGCAGCTGATAAACAGCACAATTTCCATTATTACAAATGTAATGTGGGAGACGAGGAGAGTGTTAAGGAGGCTTTTAAATGGGTGGAAGAGCAATTTGGTGGCGTAGATGTTTTAATTAATAACGCTGGTCTTATAAGAACAAGCAGTATATTGGCTGAGAACAATTCACAAGATCTTAAAGATATTATTAATGTTAATGTAATGGGTGTTGCTTGGTGTACACGAGAAGCATTTCATTCAATGAAAAAACGTCAAGTCGATGGTCATGTTATTCTCATTAACAGTCTAGCTGGACACAAAGTTCCACTTTTGCCTGGTATGAGTTTTAGCATTTATTCACCCTCGAAACATGCTGTTACTGCCATGACTGAGGTATTTAGGCAAGAATTTAAAGCTGAAAAGACTAAAATTAAAGTAACTGTAAGTTGTTATAAAGATGATTAATTTGATTTGTTGTTGTTGTTTGTTGTAATTAAAACTTTTTGTTTTTATATTTATTTAGAGCATTAGTCCAGGTGGTGTTAATACCAATATAATGGGCAAGGATTACACAATGCCTGATGATATACCCATTTTACAACCTGAAGATTTGGCTGATGCTATTTTGTTTAGTTTAAAAACCCCACCTCATGTACAAATTCATGAATTAACTATTAGGTCGGTGGGTGAATTAGTTTAATGTTTATTTATTATTTATATTACAATTCTTTTTAAGGAATTAGAAAATTGTTTGTTAAAAAAATTTGTTTTTGTTTTAATTAACCTAGATTTGTAAGACGTTTTATAAATCCAATAAGCTCAGTGTTAACACAGACTTACACCTGGAACCTAATGTTGTGCTTACGATTTCTATGTTCGGGTTTTCGAAATACATAGATCCCTAGACCCATTTCGTCTCCCAGTTTGATGACATACGTGTAACAACAGATTATCGCAGGGGTTCGCTCTAATGTTCTGAATGCCCCCTATCTCCTATTTGGTAGTAATATCTTACCATTTCTGTTTCCAGTATGAGATCACGCACATCTAGTGTTTGAGTATAACTTTATAAATAATATTTGCTCTAATGTTCTAAATGCCCACAATCTCTTATTTGGAACCAATATCTCACAGATTCTTAAAATTTGTGTTGCCTTTATGTGATCGGGCACATCTAGTGTTTGGGTACAACCTTTTAATATCTAGTTTATATTAAAGATAAATATAAAAGCCGCCTTACATGTATTTCGATCGGAGAAATATCCAGCAATATTTCTCAAGCTTTGATTGAATTAGTGCTCATGGCCACACTTACATCCAGGCAACATGTACTCTGAACTCCCTGTAATAGTATTTTGTGACTATTTCTACCCAAAGCAGTCCAACAGATATTTTTGAATTGGTCTAATTACAGTTTTATAAAACTAGTCTATCATAGTTGGAAATAGATCTAATTTCCAGTCTTTGGTTCTTCTACACAGCGCCCAACATTGATTATTCTATATGGTAGTCCCATTTTAGATTCTGATCAAGGGTATAACTCTATCGGTGTCTGATATAGTCCTATTGAAGAACCTTTCAAAATTCAGCCCTCTTACAACTTTGGTATCGCCTAATTTGGGTTTCAAGATTTCGGGATAAATACTACCCTTGCTTGATTACGAATTTTAATCATCGGGATCCGCAGCATTATATGGTGCAAAACTTTTTATTGCATTGAAGAATTCTCTTTTTTCTAAGAAATTTTCTTGAAATTCTTTACATCTTAAAAATTAATATTTTCGTTAATATAAACATAACATAACAGCACTATACGGATCATATTCGTAATGACTTATCAAAGGTTTATGGGACAAATTATTATGAATAATAATCTAAAACTTTTAAAGATACACGTTTGACTTAAATTCTGTTTAATTGACGTCACCGTTAATTACACATCGACAATAGATTTCTTGTGATTGCACTTTTTATATGCTTCTGATTAAAGGCTTGTCCATTTTCTCTATATCAAATTATTATCTCTTAACAATTGTCGAAAAAATTGTTTCCTTATCACTACACTTTTGATTAGATACTTATACCCATGCAATGATAATTCGATTATTTCTTTTGGTTATACAATGTTTAAACATTTTGCCATTAAACTAAAAAAATATGAATCGCCAGTAACCAAAGAGCATTAGAACAGTAGAGGATTATGGAACGTTGGCAAAATAAGGTGGCTGTGGTAACGGGCGCCAGTGCTGGCATTGGTGCCACCACTTGCAAAGTGTTAGTAGAACAAGGTATGATTGTTGTTGGTCTAGCCAGACGTTTGGTTAAAATGAAAACTAAAGTTTTGCCAACCATCGCCGCTGATAAACAGCACAATTTCCATTGTTTCAAATGTGATGTGGGTGATGAGGAGAGTGTTAAGGAAGCCTTTGAATGGGTGCACACACAATTCGGCGGTGTAGATGTTTTAATTAATAATGCTGGTGTGGTGAGGTCAACCACTTTATTGGCTGAGAACAACACACAAGATTTGAAAGACATCATTAATACAAATGTTATGGGTGTTGTTTGGTGTACGCGTGAAGCTTTTCACTCGATGAAAAGGCGTAAAGTCAATGGTCATGTTATCATCATCAACAGTGTGGCTGGTCATAAGGTGCCCATTTTACCGGGTATAAGTTTAAATATTTATCCATCGTCCAAGCATGCCGTCACCGCTATGACTGAAGTATTTAGGCAGGAATTTTCGGCAGAAAAGACAAAAATTAAAATCACAGTAAGTTTTTCCTTGCAGATAAGAGATGATTAATTAATTGTTTGTTTGTCTGTGATGTTGTTAACGAAACATGTTTATGTCTCTATGTATTTAGAGTCTAAGTCCTGGTGGTGTTCAAACAGAAATAATGGGTGAAGATACTACAATGCCTGAAGGTATGCCCGTTTTACAAGCAGCAGATGTAGCTGATGCGGTTTTGTTTTGTTTAAAGACTCCACCTCACGTGCAAATTCATGAACTGACCATTAAGCCAATGGGTGAAATGATTTAAAATATTCGGCTGACCGATGCCATCATGTTGGATGATTAGTTTTGTTAATGATTTATTTAAAAAAAAACTAAAAATGTTGTTATGAAAATAGGTTATTTGGTTTTTTTATAAGTAATGGTTTAAACGCCAGAAGAGGTTCGAGGAATTTAAGCGTTTGTTTTTTTTAATTTTCCGATATATTTTACTACACAAGACTAGACTAGACTATAGCCTAGATTAAAGACTAGACTATAGACTAGACTATAGACTAGACTATAGACTAGACTAGACTATAGACTAGACTAGACTATAGACTAGACTATAGACTAGACTATAGACTAGACTATAGACTAGACTATAGACTAGACTATAGACTAGACTATAGACTAGACTATAGACTAGACTATAGACTAGACTATAGACTAGACTATAGACTAGACTATAGACTAGACTATAGACTAGACTATAGACTAGACTATAGACTAGACTATAGACTAGACTATAGACTAGACTATAGACTAGACTATAGACTAGACTATAGACTAGACTATAGACTAGACTATAGACTAGACTATAGACTAGACTATAGACTAGACTATAGACTAGACTATAGACTAGACTATAGACTAGACTATAGACTAGACTATAGACTAGACTATAGACTAGACTATAGACTAGACTATAGACTAGACTATAGACTAGACTATAGACTAGACTATAGACTAGACTATAGACTAGACTATAGACTAGACTATAGACTAGACTATAGACTAGACTATAGACTAGACTATAGACTAGACTAGACTAGACTAGACTATTAGACTAGACTATAGACTAGACTATAGACTAGACTATAGACGAGACTATAGACTAGACTATAGACTAGACTATAGACTAGACTATAGACTAGACTATAGACTAGACTATAGCACTAGACTATAGACTAGACTATAGACTAGACTAGACTAGACTAGACTATAGACTAGACTATAGACTAGACTATAGACTAGACTATAGACTAGACTAGACTAGACTAGACTATAGACTAGACTATAGACTAGACTATAGACTAGACTATAGACTAGACTATAGACTAGACTATAGACTAGACCTAGACTTAGACTAGACTATAGACTAGACTATAGACTAGACTATAGACTAGACTATAGACTAGACTATAGACTAGACTATAGACTAGACTATAGACTAGACTATAGACTAGACTATGACTAGACTATAGACATAGACTATAGACTAGACTATAGACTAGACTATAGACTAGACTATAGACTAGACTATAGACTAGACTATAGACTAGACTAGACTAGACTATAGACTAGACTATAGACTAGACTATAGACTTTTTTTTTTTTTTTTTTGATGCGCCGGAGGTGTGGAATCTTCAAAAGATGTATCCAACCCGTATTGGAAAACATGCACGACTCGCCTAGGCGTCTACGTACTAAACCACACCCCCTTACGTCCCCCGTCCCCGCGGAACTGCCAATTGGTATTACTTCGCGGGGGGGTTTGCCCATTATTGGGTACACTTCGTTTGTATTACAAAGAATTTGTCAGCACACTGTTGCGGGATGCTTTACGTGCTGTTTCAGCATCACGCAATGTTTTGTTTATATTGCTAATAAACGTATTCACTGCGTCCCATTGCTCTTGAGATTTCAACATTATGCAAATTAAGTTGTTCACTGTAATCTTTTCTCCTAGGCTAGATTCTAGAGCTGTTCTGTTTCTTAAGAATCGTGGACATGCAAATGCTACGTGTTCTGCAGTTTCATCATCTTCGGTGCATTCTGGGCACCTTGGGGAGTTGTCGTGGCCAAAGCGATGCAGATAGCTTCTATAGCCACCATGACCCGTGAGAAATTGTGTTAAGTTATAATTTACTTCACCGTGTCTCCGATTTACCCAAATATTAATAGAAGGGATAAGTCTAAAGGTCCATCGGCCGTTAGGAGAATTTTCCCATCTTCTCTGCCAACTTTCAATACTTTTATCTCTCTCGATTTTACAAATTTCCTTTTTGGTAATCTCCGGATTTTCAAGTAGCGTTTTATATATATTTGATGCTTCCCTTACTGTAATATCTATGGGTACGATTCCTGCAACAACATTTGCTGCTTCCCCTGATATAGTCCGAAAGCCACTACATACTCTTAAGCAACTTCTCTTAAATAAGGACATCATACTTTTTCTTATAGATTTATTTATTTATTGGAGTATTGAGTTAGTTACGCGGGATATCAGTATTCTACGGCTTTGTCGCGGTCCTCCGATGTTTGGCATCATTCTTGATAATGCGTTTGATACAATCGTCGCCTTTTTACATGCATATTCCATGTGCTTTTTAAAGTTCAATCGGTCATCTATCATGACACCTAAGTATTTTATTGCTTCCGAAGACACAATTGTGGTCTCGCCTACTTCTACTGATAGTGTTTCTCGTTTCCTTTTTCCGCTAATTAGAACAATCTCTTTTTATGTTCGGCTAGATTCAGGTTTACTGATGACAACCAGTCTTTGATCGATCTGATTGCTTCGTTTGCGTACAGTTGGACTTCGTCAATGTATCTCGCTTGAACAAGTATTGCAATGTCATCTGCAAAGCCTACAATAGTTGCTTCTTCAGGTATTTTTATTCCAAAAATTCCATTATACATAATATTCCACAACAGGGGTCCTAGGACAGAACCCTGAGGGACGCCTGATGTGACATTATAGG